AGACGGGAAGGAAGAATACAGAGCCAGGTGAGCATTAGTGACAGAAGTATGAAACACTATGAAGACCTATAGCTATAGTGAGGTTAAGAACTTTGCTATAGAAAGAACGTCCCAGGTCAAATAAGATACCTGGACTTCATTTGCTGCTAGAGGGACTTGGAGGGGACTATCTCAGGTGGTCTACAGCCTACAGGCCAACAGGGCAGGTGACATTTCAAGGCTTGGAGCACATGCCTTAACTAAATTTGTCTTTATAGTCAGGTCTCTGCTTTGCCCCTGAAATCACCATTTCCCTCTGTAGTGCATGAAGAGCAAACACCTATGTTTGGCAGGTAGGCAGGCAGAATTGTCATCATCCCAAGGAGCTTTCCCCCATACTGATTCCCTCTGCCCAAAGCCTTCAGGGAAAGCTTCATGCAGTCTGAGTGGCCTTCAAAGCTGACCTGAGTTGTGTAGACCATGGGGGTTGAGCTCAGCTTTCAGAGGATAAGCACTAGGCAGCTTCATCTCTTACCCAACAGGTAAACTACCCGTCAGCTGGGCCACTCAACAGTGCACCCCTCCAGGCTCAATGCAGAGGTTCTGGGACTCATCTGGTGAACTGTGGTGACCATCTCCTACTGCTCACAAGCAGAACCAACTATACCTAGTGCTCTTACTGAGCTCCCTGGGATTGTGAGCCATACCCTTCATCTGGATGAAGGTGTCCTTGCCTTTCCTAGCAACTACCCTAGATGTCAATGACCTACATATACCATGACCATGAATCAGGATGGCCTAGAAAAAGGGCATTCCCTATCTGAACTAGCCAGTCCCAATAGCCCAGGACCCCAAGACCCCTCCTTGTGAGGCAGAAGAGAGGTTTATAATTCACCATGAACCACATGAGAAATATTTCACTAGCCTGACAGGTCAGAACAGTTAATTTCTAAGGCATATGTCAGAATATGAATATTCTCAGGATTAAACTGGTTCATAAAAAGTTCAGTTAGCCCTGGCCAGGTGGCTCAGTTGGTTGGAACGTCATCCTTTACACCAAAAGGGTGTGGGCTCAATCCCTGGTTGAGGCACGTGCAGGAAACCTATCAATGTTTGTCTCTCACATCAAGGTTTCTCTTTCTCTCTCCCTCCCTCCCTCTCTCTCTAGAAATTAAACAACAACAACAACAACACATATCCTCACGTGAAAATTTTTATTAAAGTTCATTTAGCTCAGCTATATGGTCTTTTCTACCAAAGCAGCTTCATATTTTTCAATAAATATTTATTTGGACAATGCTGAGTAGTCCCCCTTCCATGTCAATTCCTTCAGGAAGGTTTTTATTCTGAAAGCTGGCTCTGTAATCACTCTGGGACAATATGGGTTTGTTAGAGCCACGTGGACATCCTGTGTGTGAATGCACATGTGTGTGATTCAAGAAGTAGGCCCAATTCCAGGTGTCCAGCGAAGAAAAGGCTCTTCTCTTGACATAGGTAAGTGAAGTTAAGGGAAAGAAAACACAAGAGGAGGAAGCCAGGAGAGCAACACTGAGTCCCTAGACCTGGTTCTCTTGAAAATCCAGTTTTCCAAAGCTGGCATTGTGGCTGAGAACTGCTCATCACCACCACAGCAGAGCTCAGCCTGGCACTCCCAATACCAGCACCAGGACTTTCTAGGAGGCCAGCCCCGGAACCAGTTCTACTCAGAGCCTCCAACATTCCTTTAGAGTGACGAGCTGGACAAAAAGACCCAATGTCTCCCTGTGCAGACCAACTGCTACCCTGACTCTGCCAACAAGCAGGTACACATGCACACGCATGCACACATGGACACGCCAGCACACACACGTTCCCAGTCCTCTCACAAGGGGAGGTGCAAATGAGAAAGAGGGCGGGGCTGCACGCCAGCTGCTCTCTGTACCCTGCTGCTACTTACGTTCCTGTATGCTGCTCTCCTGGGCCATGTTTTCTTTGCTCTTGTAAAATGGGAACTTTCGAGAGAGGCGGAAACTCTTTTTACGTTTCGTTTTGATCGACTGTGAAAGAACATGAAGATGGAGGGGAAGGACAGAAGAAGAAAAACAAAACAATGGATTTTAAAGCATGCAAGAAAAACTAAAATGGAGACAATGGTGAGCTAAATAAAAGACCATTTTTCACAAATGGAGTCTATGAGATTAAATGAAAGTTGATGTAAGAGGAAAATTATGTTTACAGGAAAATGTTGTAGGGATGTTAGACGTTTCTACCTAATCCAGACTCACAGCACTCACTGGTACTTCCTAAAGCACAAAGGTCACTGTAGCCACCTGGACACATGCCCTAAGATGCTACTGATAACTTCCCTCTACTGCTACCATCGGAACTTCTTTGGCCTGTGAAGCTCATAGAAGAACAGGAGTGAATGGAAAGAGCCCTCGATCCTCATTTGGTCTGAAGGGCAGTCAGAGCTGTGGGGCTGCCTCCCTGGCTAGATGATGAGGCAAGATTCTGTTCAGGGTCCCCACAGCTCCAACAGTGTCTGCAGCCAGGGAGACACCCACAGTTGTTTCATGTGCCCCAAGCCAGTCAGCCTTGCCGACACTCCGACTCCACCACATCAAGAACCAGTTCCCCGGGAAAAGGAGCACACACACGGGCTGGGGAGTTTGAGGGCCCTCTCTCTGTTCTCAGAAAAGCAGTCAGTATGCTGATAGGACAGAGCCAGCCCCTGACAAAAAGGGATTGTTTTGTTGTCCCCAGTTCTCTTATCCACCACACAGACTCCAAGCTTCTTACTCTTCTTCACATATTGGCTGACTCCCTTGGGGTTCCCCACTTACCCTATTAGACTCAATCATGCCTGTCCTGGCATGGAACTTCACGGTTTTCAATCGAGCTCTTTCTTTCTTTTCCACCCTGTTTTGGAAACAGAAACAAGTCCTATTACTGCCAGTGCATAGTCTCAGCAGTGGATTGCAATGGACACAGCAGCCACCTTTTGGTTCATTGAGTCATAACCATGTCCTGAGTACCAACTCTCTACCAAAAAGGAATAATGAAGCAAACCCCCTGCAAGCAACTTACAGTATAATCAGCAAAAAAGAAATCAGTACCAAGGAGAGGATGAGGAAGGCCTCTCTGTGATCATGACAACTCACCTCTTCTTACTGGGGATCACACCGATTTGCTCGCTTTCTCCATGTGGGGTCACCAGTCTTGCCTGCCACCACTCATCATCAGAGGCATTAATAACATGCAGAATGTCACCATAGGAGAAGCTGAGCCCCTGGCTTGGCAGGCAACTGTCCCGTGTCCGGTCATAATCAAACAGGGCCCTGAAACGCACAGTGGAAGATGAAGTGATCATTGTAACCCTCAATGCCAAGTAGCCGACACTCTGAAAGGATGGCACTGAAAGGCCAACCCACAGGGTCAGCGCAGATCCAACAGCCTCACAGTAGCCCAGAAAAAATTATTTTCTGTCAGCCCGACATTAATATGTGCCAGGTTCTCAAACAAACATTTTATTCCCCATCAAGGGACAATCTTTCTGACTCCCATCTCTTCCCAGCTTCTAGACACAAGAAGACACTCAATAGACCTCTCCCTCACCCACATCCTAGGGCAGTGATGGCGAACCTATGACACGCGTGTCAGAGGTGACACACGAACTAATTTTTTTGGTTGATTTTTCTTTGTTAAATGGCATTTAAATATATAAAATAAATATCAAAAATATAAATCTTTGTTTTACTATGGTTGCAAATATCAAAAAATTTCTATATGTGACACAGCACCAGAGTTAAGTTAGGGTTTTTCAAAATGCTGACACGCCGAGCTCAAAAGGTTCGCCATCACTGTCCTAGGGAAACAAATTAGCTCTAACAATGGGCTTTCTCTATTTACAAATGTATCCTCAAAAAGCAGTTGAAGATAGGACATAAAAATGTTAACTACAACCCCAAACAATGAATGGTATAGAATGGTATTCGATGCTGTAGAAACACAAACGAGAAAAGGGCCCTGTTTCCTGGGGCAGCCAAGGAAAAAGTTAAGGCTGATGTTGACCCACATGATGATAAAGTTGAAAGGGACCCTAAGAAGTCTCCTAGTTCAGTCTGTCTCTCTGTCTGATATATACATACTAGAGGCCCGGTGCACAAAAATTTGTGCACTTGGAGGGGAAGGGGGGTTCCTCAGCCTGGCCTGTGCCCTCGCGCAGTCTGGGACCCCTCGGGAGATAACGACCTGCTGGCTTAGGCCTGCTCCTGGGTGGCAGAGGGCAGGCCCAATCCCTAGGTGCAGCCCCTGGTCAGGCTCAGAGCAGGGCCGATTGGGGAGTTGGGGCACCGCCCCCTGTCATGCACAGAGCAGGGCAGAT